CAAGCAGGTGAATAGAGGTATATGCTACATGTCACTGCAATGTCACCTAGGAAATGCCAGTGAGAGATTTAAAACGGAAAGGAAATAAAACTGATACCATAGCTAAGTAATCATCGAGTTTCAAGGTAAAAAAATACCCGTTTTCCTCTCATTGATTTGCAAGGATGGCTGAGTGCTGCTTCCAGCTGTTACTTAGAAATGATTTTATTTACTTTTCAGATCTTACTCATCTCCCCTCTGAACCCTCAATTTCTAAGCCCTTCTCTGTGCAAATCACAACTTCAGTGTAGATCTGGAGTGTGTCATTTTTTTTGCTATTTTTAAATATTAATAGCCCAGTCCTCTTCACAAATGATGACTTTTTTAAAACTCAGAAATAGTTAATGCAAATCCTTAGTAGCTGCTCTTCAGGCTATAACTCTTTAGAACGGGGTGTCTTGCATGCAGACAATTTTGAATGTTCTAGCAGAGTCAGCATTAAACCCTCTACCACAGCACATACTTTACCATATATTTATACTAGCTGAACATAAATACATAAATAAAATCAACAGTCCTGAGTACAGAGGCTCAACTGCATTATCCTGTTCCAATAATGTGCTATGTCAAACCCAATAAATTTGCTTCCCTCCTGAACGCATTAGGTTGTAACTCCAGACCAAAATATAACTTCCAGTTTCAGTGAGATTAATAGGATGGAATGTGTCAGATAAGTGAAATATCTAGCAATGCAGTCCTAATGCTTATCTGCCGAATCGGTGACTTTTTTTGCCATATGTATTTACTTCCAAGGCCAGTAAGTAAGCTTAAATACAGCTTGTACTAATGAATGCTTCAACTCAATCAACAACAGAACTTTTAGGAATAAGGTGTCACTTCAAAATGACATTTGATACAGTTGGATGCAGTACCTATGACTTCATGCCACATGCCCTTTTTTTCTCTAGTCTTCTCAGTTTTTTAAATATTCTTTTGGGGTTACACTCCACAGTGCTCAGGACCTTAGAAGTTAGCTTAATAGTTAGGGGGCTCAGAGGACCTTGTGGTGCTAGGAATTAAACCAGAGCATGTAAAGCATCTGCTCCAGCCCATTGAGCTACCTCACTAATCTCTACTGTTTCTCTATTCCCTTACTTCCCACTTTCTCTATTCTATCCTGTTTTCCTTCCCCTCTACTCCATCCAGTATATCAGTGTTCTTCAAACTGGGAGCTCTAATCTATGGGTAACTCTTTCATTCATTTGGGTGGGTGTTCAGGGATTACTTTTTAATTCATGCTTAAGGATCATTCCTGATGCTATTTTTGCTTGCTTTTTTTGTGAAAGCATTTTAGTGGACCACAAGTAGCAATTTGTAATAGAGTATTTCGGGGTCCCTGGTTCTGAAATGGGTAATAACCATTCAGGGACTCTTGTTTAAGCCCACAACTATGCCCTTGGTGAGGATGGAAGATAGGTTTATACATGAAGATTAGTACCACTGCTCGATATGTTAGGCCTAGGATATCAGAAATCACAAAACAGGGTCTCAGGTAGCCTGCAGCCTTGTTTTTCTTCTGTTGCTGTGTCATAATGCACATTACATTCCTTTCGTTTATGTTTAATGTAAGGTGTTTCATATACACATGTGTACACTATAAGTAGCATATCTATATAGCACGTTGGTACTAATGGAGAGTGGTAGAGACCACAGATAATGTTAAGTCTCCTACACTGCATGTGAAAGCATCCCACCCCAACAAATAATGATATGTTCCAAAATATTCAATATGCCAAGGGTGAGAAACCCTAATCTATACAAAGAGACAATAGCTAAGAAAAATCTGAGAAAAGAGAAAATGTTTTGCATTTTCATTTGAATGTATGACATCATATGTCTCTACCCAGAATCACAAATAACTTCCTAATTCTAATTCCCTTATGCAGAAGTAGGATTTGAAATTAGTCCATTGGTCTCCAAGGGTTTACATATATGTCTGATGCAAAGACAAACTACTCCAGATTCAAGCATACCACCCAGTCAACCAAGAATTGAATTTTAAAATATATAACACAGAGAAGACGTCTGCATTAATCTTTAAGCTATTATTGCTGGTCCTTTTCATGTAGCAGTTCTCTATTTAAAAATGTGTCTGTCTCTGAACTACACTTTGAAACCTTTGGTTCAAAGGGGACAGGATTCAATGAAAACATTTCCCATTCCTCTTAAACCTAGTGGTTCTGTAGGTGATTTCTACTTTGATTTACATTTTGGAAAGCTTTTCAGCTCTGGATACAGTTGGAGAAACAGCATTCCCAGACCAACTCTATACTTCATAATAACTGGGCAATATTGCATCATCTTAGAAACGTCTTAGAAAAAAATTACCATTCTATCCCAATCTTAGAGTAAAATTAGAAACTCCCAAGAAAAATTTCACTTTATCATCCTATATTCACTGCAAACAGAGATCTCTAGCTTTTAATAGCAATCAATAAAATCAATAGTAAAGAGCACACAAATATAGAGCTACGGTAATAATTCCACTGCACCAAAGAATTAAGAATGCCATTTTTACTCATTCACAAAAACCCATTAACAGGCATGTCTCTGATAGTTAGATCAGGAAAATTTCCTCTAACAAAAGCTTGAGAAAAGTCAGTATAACGCTGCTTTCAAATAAATTGGTACATTTAAGATTTTCATTACTTCATATTCTCTTCTCTATAATTAATCATCTATGCAACAATGTCTCCCAGAAATTTTTGCATTGATTATTATGTGTATGTGTACACACATATAAGTGTGCGCACTCAGGCTACCCTTCCAAATAGCTCCCCACATACTTTGAAATCTTTTGCTGACTAAAAGAAGAGTCTGTTCTTTGAAATTGCATCTTACTATCCGTGTGGTCCCATGTGGAAAGGCAGACAGATGAACGCTTCCTGTGTGCCGGCAAACATGCTAGGTTTGCTCAGGAGGCTAATTAAAATTGATGCATGCCACACTTTGCATGTTTCTTTATACCAGACCAAAATAAATGATCAATTTTATCATTTATAATTAATCTGTATTCAAGTTATGATTGCTTCTTTTGTGGTCTTGCTTCTTTTGTGGTCTTACCTTTGCTTAGGGACAAAGCATCCTCTCAGTAAACTGACTCTGTTTTTAAAATTTTTTTCAGAATGACTGTCTCATTATTTCTGCCTTTGAATGGTCTCTTAGCTCTGTGTTTTGTGGTTGTTTATAGCACCCATTAAATAACTACACGGAGATGACACAGTCCGAAATTAGGTAAGGATAGAGAGGCAGTGTTAACTGTCCCTGGTTGGTGATAGGAGTAGGCTGCTGTGATAATCTGGAGCAAATAGCATTTTTAATGTTTTACACAAATGAGGATATTCATAAAGAAAATGAAATGCTTCACAACACGGAACTGGTAAGAACTTGCCCTGCTGCTTGTGTGAGAACTGTATTTTTTGGCAATTGTCTGCCTGGATGGCAGGGAAATCTCAAAAAACAGTTTCTCAGGAATTCAGTACAAGGAATACCAATGCTCTGTTAACCCTCAGAGATCCGACAATGAGCTAATCCTTTGGCTATTAATAAAGTAAACTTTGGTTATGTCCATATGATAAGATGATCAGTAACTATCTCTGTAAAAGACCCAGGATAGTCTCCTTGGAAAAACCAAGATGAAAAGAAAACCCAGATGAGAAGGGAGAAACAGGGAAGGTTCCCAAGAGTGAGAATGAATGACTTAGATGCCATTTGAGAACCTGATGGCCTTGTCTAGGGAATGACAACCTTGCAGGCTGACAGAGCCCCACCCACGGAGATCAGCAGGAGGGAATTGGGCTCCACGTTAGCATCCCTCACCTCCCTTTCTCCACTGGCCCTCCGAGATCTTCAGAAGTATATGGATGTTTGGGGACTCTGGGGGGGGCGGTGGAAAGGGGGCCCTGAAAATGACTGGGATGTGGAGGGCTGGCTTTCAGGCCTCACTCCTCTGAGGCAGAGCAAAGAAAGTCTTGATGCAACTCAACTCCCTATCCCTGCCCTCAGCCTAGGAAATCACAACTTTCTCCAAAGCAGGTTGGGGGTCTGGAGGAAAGGCCCCGGGAAACCAAGTGCTTGGGGGAATGGCAAGACTCAGGGGACAGACAGGCGCCAGGCACCCCACACCTCCCTCTGCAAAGGCGCTGGCGTCTTGCAAGCGAGCGCCTGCCTTTCACAGCATCACAACCACCTGGACTACTAATAGAGGCGCAAGAAAGGAGAAAGGGGGACGCGAAGAGGGCCAAGACGCTGTCCTAGTCGAGCCAGGCGACGTGGCGATGAATCAAAAGAATCCAATTAGAGCAAGGCCGGAAGGCGGCTAGCTCCGGAGAACACATTCGCCCAAGTCGAACTCACTCCATGGTATGGAAATCCCTGTTCGCCCCCACTCGATAGGAGGTCCCTGATATCCCGATGCCAACTCCCGCGACTGGGCGCTTAGGAGTTCTGGGAGACAGGCCTGAGGCGGGGGGAGGCGGGGGAGGCGCCGGGTGGGCTACTTGCACGCCCGTAGCCAGCGCCTCGCTCGGCAGTGGGAACCCACCAAGGGGTCCCCCCCATCCACACCCTTCTTGCACTTGCCGGACTATGAGCCGCGGCTGGCCACGGAAGCTGCCTGCCGGGCCGGGCAGAGTTGGCGGCGCGCTCCAAGGAGCTGGGCTGGGTGATGGAGCGGCGGCCGATGTGTGGGATGCTGGCGTGGCCCTCCCGCGGGCCGGGCGGGGACATCTGATCTGTCGGCTGATTGATAAGTGAGGGCGAGGGGGGCGGCAGGCCCTGTCTCCACCTCCTCCTCCTCCTCCTCCTCCTCCTCCTCCTCCTCCTCCTCCTCCTCCTCCTCTTCCTCCTCCTCCTCCTCCTCCTCCTCCCCCTCCCTCCCTCCCTCTCCCCTCCCCCTCCCCCCGCTGCTCTTCTTTCCTCCTCCCCCCTCGGTTCGCTCCTCGCTGCCAGAGGCGCTGCCCGCCGGCAGAGCCGCTCCAGTGGGATCGGGCCGTCCCGGGGGCGCCGCCCGCGTTGCCTCGTCGCCCACCCTCCCGGGCCGCGCGGTGTCAGGCGGTGCCGGGTCTCGCGCCTCCCCGCGCCGCGGATGCTGCGGTCGCCTCCGGGGGACCAGCCGGCCGGGCGCGCTCGCCGGGTAAGTTCGGAACCGCGCTCAGGGCCGCGGGGGGCGCCCAGGCCAGGCTGCTCCGGGCACGGGCGTGGGAAACCGGAGGAGGGTTGGAAGGGGGGACGGGTGGTCGCGATCGCCGGCGCGCCCCCGACACACACACACACATACACATACACCCTTGCCCGCTGTGCCACGCTCTGGACCGTCCGCGCGGGCGTGGTCGGACTCAGGGCTTCGCGCAGCCCCGTTGGGCCGTGACTATCGTGGGCGACCCGCGGGGCCCTCGGGAAATCCCCCACCGGGACTCTTGCGGCCGCGGGCATCCCGCGTGGGGCGTGTGGCGTCTGATGCCCAGTGCCCGACCCCACTCCGAACAGCCCCCCGGAACCCGGGTGAAGCCCTCCGGGTAGAGCTGGGAACTTCGGGGGTGCGGGGCGAGAAAGAGGCCGAGCTAGGCACGCGGAGTCCCCCAGACCCGTGTCCCCCCAGCCTCTGGCCTGATGGACTCTTAACCCCGTCGTGGCCGGGAGTGGGGGAGTGCGGCGTGGAGAAGAGCTGCGGTGCCGCCCGCGATCCCCGATGCTGGTGAGAGGCGACAGAGTCCCCGATGTGCGCTTCCGTCGCCCCGAAGCGTTGCAGGAGCGCCTTCCTTATTTTAGCGTCCGCCTCTGCCTCCCTCGGGCTCACCCAGAACCTTCCCGCTGCCTTCCCGGCCGACTCCCCCAACGCGCCGCGCTCCAAGCGGCGCCGCCCGAGACGCGGGGCCGCAGGAAACTTACTCCGAGCGCGCAGTGGGGTCTCGGGGCGTATTCGCGCCCGGTGGCTGGGTGGAGGGTCGCGGCTGTGGAACTGGGAGGAGGAGAGGCGCCACGCTCTGCGGCTCCAAGTGGAGAGTTCAACATTTCCCTTTAGGGAACCCCCTCTTGTCGCTCCCCGAAGCTAGCTCGACGCCGCAAGGAAATCTTCGCCCTGGCAGTGCCAGGAATTTCAAGCCGCCCTCCTCGCCCCCAACACACACACACACACACACACACACACACACACACACACACGCACACGCACGCACACACTGAAATTCCTAGCAAAACAGTCTGTGTTCTCCAGAAGGCAGGCGGTGCCATGAAGGTCTTGAGAGAAATGACTGTATTGGAGAACGGAAACGAATATTTGCCATTCCACTTGAAAATTGATTTTTGGGGTGAAAGAGTGCATTCGTGGCAAACATCCCGCGGGCTCTGTAAGATGTAAGACTGGGCTAGTTCGTGCTCTGAGTGCTCCAAAGCCCAGGCTTCCCCTGTGCGGTGTACAGAGTCTTGAACTTAAGCTGGGGGGGGGGGGAACTTTGCCTGGTGGAGGTGTGTGCTCTTCTAGAAAACGGATGTGACTGCGGTGGTCTTGGCTGTGGCGCGGGTTGCCACTTAAGGGAAGTAGGCACGGAAGTCATACATGTTTGTGAGTGAATGACTGCATGAATAAGTCATATCTGTCCAGCAACTCGGTATGCGAACTAGTGGCAAATAGGTGGAAGCAAGTGGCCTTCGTTGTGAAAAAAAAATGCTTCAGCACTGCTGTTCCATCACTCTGCAGGCAGCATGCAGGTGCACTGGAGAGAGGGTGAGGGGCCCTTGGCTGGGCTACCTGTCCCCTCTGTAGACAATTCTGTCTCACTGTTGCTCTTTGTTACACACACACACACACACACACACACAACCAACACCCAGTAAAGGGAAGGTTCTTGCCCAAGAACAAGCAAGGAGCAAGAATAAGAGAATGGGGGTCAGGCTCAGGATGTCTCTTTCAAGGGAAGGAGAAGGGGGGGGGCGGGGAGAAAGTTCGAGAAAAAACTCTGGAGGAGACTTCCAGAACCACAGGTTACTTTAGAACTTGAGTGAAGAATCCATTTCCAGCCCTCCTTGGGGGGAAGACAGGGTCTGTATGGGGGAAAGAGTTCTAAGGCCAGACCTTAGAACTGTACCCAGAACCCTGCTTTACTGAATCAGTCATGGGTGTTCCACATTTGAGGCAGCAGTGGGACCCCGTGTTAACTCCTTCTGCAGCAGGCTGGGACAAAAGAGGTGAGGGAGCTGGCTGGAGCATTTGGTTCAATAGGCACATCTCTTGGTCAGTTTCACTCGCCCCTCTCTGCCAGCTCATCTTGTCTCCCACCTAGCCAGACACAGTCCTTGGCCCTTCCAGGCTGTCCTGCAAGTGTCCTCCTTCCTATGAGACTCCGGAGTCCAGGAGACCTTAATATTATTCAGGAAAAATGAGATCAGTACTACAAAAGCCCAGCCTCTGCTCAAGGGGGAGGTGGTTCAAGTTTATCTGATCCCAACCTTGGGGCAGGGAGGAGCTGAGAGAGCCCAGAGATGCCATCCCTTTAGCCAACAGGGAAAGGAAGGTTCATATGCCAGTGGCATACCTTCTAACAGAGCTGGATGGAAGTCCCCTGGCAGTACTGGGCACCTTTCTGTTTTGCTTTGGTCTGCAGGTGCGAGCCTCCTGGCCTCATGGCCTTGACCCTGACGCCCTGGTGGGCGAAGGCCCCCTTCCCTGCGCTCCCAGGCACAGCCTAGTGCTGCCTCTCAGACACCCACACCTCTCCTTCCGTTAGGCAAGACGCACACTCTGAAATCCCATCATCGGGCTAAGTATAACCCTTAGGGGGAGCGGGGTTGCGTGGCTGCTTATCCGCTGGCTTTTTGCAGGAACCAGGCAAGTGTTTCCTGGCCTGGCCTGTGACCACCCAGAAAGTAATTCCGTAGCTAAAGCAGATCCCCACCCCTCACTCACACACACACACCGCCCCCGCTGGAACCGCTCCTCTCCTCCACTGACACGCCAGTGCGGCTCCCAGTCCCGGGGCTCACTTTCCCCCGACTCTGCTTGGCAGTTCAGCCTGAAAGCCCTTAGGACCGGCCAGCCGCGAGGGCCAGGAACCGGAGTCCTAGCCCGGGTGTTTTATTTATTTATTTATTTATTTATTTATTGGGAGGAGGGAGGGGGTGTCCCTAAGCGAGGCGGCTCTTGGAGAAGCCCTCTCTCCTCTCTCGGGGAGCCCGGGCGCGCCGCCGGCCGGGTGGGACGGCGACTGTTCCCAAAGCCACTGCCGCAGCCAGGATTCGGGTTTGGCCAAGCCAGTAGCCAGCCAGGGACGCCTCGGCTCCTCCCTCCCCCACCGCGCGCCCTCGATCCCCGGCTAGTCCCCTCCCCCGTGACGTCACCCCAGCCCAGTCCCGGGGAGCTTGCAAAGCCTCTCAAATTCAAACTGCTCGGCGCACTGCCGCTGCGGCCGCCCGCCTGCCAGCGCGCCCAGGCTCGGACGTCGCGGTCCCGGGTAGGCTCGGGGTCCCGCTCTCTCTCGCAGTCCTCCTCCTCTCCCCCGCGTTCCTCGGGCGCCGGGCAGCGATTTTTTTTCTGTTTTGTTTTTCTTTTTTCCTTTAAGCGCCCCCACCTCCCCACCACCAACCCCGACTGATCGGTCGAGAGAAATCTGGGCACCCCCGCCCTAGCCCCCCGCCACCGTAGCGGAATTTTTTTTTACCCCGTTCTCCTTCTCTTCCGAAAGATGCTAAACTCCTGGAAGACGGCCGCGGAGAGGGGTCCTGTCTTCTCCTGATGCGTGAGTAACCCCCCAACCGACATCCAGCTTTTCCTTGGCTTTCCCAACCTCCCCTCCCACCCCGCGTCAGTTTCCCGATTTTCCCAGCCCCCTCCCCACCCAACTCCCGTTTGGCGCAGTTGGGGGAAAAAAAAGTCAAGCGATTTATGCTGTGAGCCCCAAACGCACGGGAGAGCCCATCTCTTCCGGATTCCCCCCATCCCCCCACCCCCAGGAACCAGAGATGGGCTGGTTTTAGTAGGACAACTCGGGCTCCTAATGACTCCGCGGCTGGGAGCGGCCCGCGGGGAAATCCGGTACAAGCATCTGTGTACCAGGACGCGCGTGTGGGTGGGCTGGGGCGAAGCAGCCGCTGGGAAAAACAGTGATTTCATGCCACCGTGTGCCCACTCCACGCCTCGTCCCTCCCTCCCACGCCTCCCCCTCGCTTTGCCATTTTAATCGGGGCTTCCTTGTCTCTTTCTCCCCTGCATGCTGCTCTCTCGCCCTCCCCCCCCTCAGGTTTGCCTGTCGGTACCTGAGCTGACACCCCCGTGCCTAAAGATGCTGAGCGGCGTCTGGTTCCTCAGTGTGTTAACTGTCGCCGGGATCTTACACACAGAGAGTCGCAAAACTGCCAAAGACATTTGCAAGATCCGCTGTCTGTGCGAGGAGAAAGAAAACGTCCTGAATATTAACTGTGAAAACAAAGGATTTACAACTGTCAGCCTGCTGCAACCCCCCCAGTACCGCATCTACCAGCTTTTCCTCAATGGAAACCTCCTCACCAGACTCTACCCCAATGAGTTTGTCAATTACTCAAACGCTGTGACCCTCCACCTGGGCAACAACGGGCTGCAGGAGATCCGAACAGGGGCTTTCAGCGGCCTGAAAACCCTCAAGAGACTGCATCTCAACAATAACAAGCTGGAGGTCCTGAGGGAGGACACGTTCCTGGGCCTGGAGAGCCTGGAGTATCTCCAGGCCGACTACAACTACATCAGCGCCATCGAGGCAGGGGCCTTCAGCAAACTGAATAAGCTTAAAGTGCTCATCCTCAACGACAACCTTCTGCTCTCACTGCCCAGCAATGTGTTCCGCTTCGTCCTGCTGACCCACTTAGACCTGCGAGGGAACAGGCTCAAAGTCATGCCTTTCGCCGGTGTCCTGGAGCACATAGGAGGCATCATGGAGATCCAGCTGGAGGAAAACCCCTGGAATTGTACCTGTGACTTGCTGCCCCTCAAGGCCTGGCTGGACACCATAACTGTGTTTGTGGGTGAGATCGTGTGTGAGACCCCCTTTCGACTTCACGGGAAAGATGTGACCCAACTGACCAGGCAAGACCTCTGCCCTCGCAAAAGTACTGGGGACTCCACTCAGAGGGGCAGCCACGCAGACACCCATGTCCAACGGCTGTCCCCTACTCTGAATCCTGCTCTCAACCCGACCCGAGCCCCGAAAGCCAGCCGGCCACCCAAGATGAGAAACCGTCCAACGCCCCGGGTCACCGTGTCAAAGGACAGGCAGAGCTTTGGGCCCATCATGGTGTACCAGACCAAGTCCCCCGTGCCTCTCACCTGCCCCAGCAGCTGTGTCTGCACCTCCCAAAGCTCTGACAACGGTCTGAACGTCAACTGCCAAGAAAGGAAGTTCACCAACATCTCCGACCTGCAGCCCAAACCTACCAGTCCAAAGAAACTCTACCTGACCGGCAACTATCTTCAAGCTGTCTACAAGAACGACCTCTTAGAATACAGTTCTTTGGATCTGTTGCACTTAGGAAACAACCGGATCGCAGTCATCCAGGAAGGTGCCTTCACAAACCTGACCAGCTTACGCAGACTGTATCTGAATGGCAATTACCTCGAAGTGCTCTATCCGTCAATGTTTGATGGACTGCAGAGCTTGCAGTATCTCTATTTAGAGTATAATGTCATTAAGGAGATTAAGCCACTGACCTTTGACGCTTTGATTAACCTACAGTTACTGTTTCTGAATAACAACCTGCTGCGCTCCTTACCTGATAACATATTTGGGGGCACGGCCCTCACCAGGCTGAATCTGAGAAACAACCATTTTTCTCACCTGCCAGTGAAAGGGGTTCTGGATCAGCTCCCGGCTTTTATCCAGATAGATCTGCAAGAGAACCCCTGGGACTGCACCTGTGACATCATGGGACTGAAGGACTGGACAGAACATGCCAATTCCCCTGTCATCATCAATGAGGTGACCTGTGAGTCCCCTGCTAAGCACGCCGGGGAGATACTGAAGTTTCTGGGAAGAGAGGCTATTTGCCCAGATAACCCGAACCTGTCAGATGGCACCATCTTGTCCATGAATCATAATACAGACACCCCAGGGTCACTGAGCGTGTCCCCCAGTTCTTATCCTGAGCTCCACACTGAAGTTCCACTTTCGGTCTTGATTTTAGGGTTGCTGGTGGTCTTTATTTTATCTGTCTGTTTCGGGGCTGGTCTGTTTGTCTTTGTCCTGAAACGCCGAAAGGGGGTGCCAAGTGTTCCCAGGAGTGCCACCAACTTAGATGTCAGCTCCTTCCAATTACAGTACGGCTCTTACAATACTGAGACTCAGGATAAAACAGACGGCCACGTCTACAACTACATCCCCCCACCTGTGGGTCAGATGTGCCAAAACCCCATCTACATGCAGAAGGATGGCGACCCAGTAGCCTTTTACCGAAACCTGCAAGATTTCAGCTACGGCAACCTGGAGGAGAAAAAGGAAGAGCCAGCCCCCTTGGCTTACACCATAAGTGCTGCCGAGCTGCTGGAAAAGTCGAGCACACCAAGAGAGCCGGAGCTGCTGTATCAGAATATCGCAGAGCGAGTCAAGGAACTGCCCAGTGCCGGACTGATGCACTACAACTTCTGCACCCTACCGAAAAGGCAGTTCGCCCCTGCTTACGAATCTCGACGCCAAAACCAAGACAGAATCAATAAAACCGTTTTGTATGGAACTCCCAGAAAATGCTTTGTGGGACAGTCAAAGCCAGACCACCCTTTACTGCAAGCTAAGCCGCAATCAGAACCAGACTACCTCGAAGTTCTGGAAAAACAAACTGCAATCAGTCAGCTGTGAAGGGAAATCATTTACAACCCCAAGGCATCAAAGGATGCTGCTTCAAACTGCTGGAAGCACTGCCTTGCCTTTGTGTTTGTTTCCCAGCGTCAGTGGGGGACTTTGACAGTGTCTGGGGGATGGGTAAAGCAATGATACTGCTTTTTTCAAGTTTTCCTTTAAATTATTTCTCTTGGTTTTCCTCCACCCACCTTCCACCACTTTTCTTCTTAGGAATCATCACTGAACATGAATGTTTCTACATTTCTTTCCTGCATTTTCCCGTGTATTTTGTTTATGGTTTTGTTTAGGTTATCTTTCTTCTTTTTATTTTTCAGCCTGGGAATGGAAAGAGGAGATTATGGTGAATAAGGAAAGCGCCAGCAAAGTTTTCCAATGAAAATGGATACTGAGTGTATTTTGTAGATGAGACTATACATTCTTTTGTAAATAATGATATATGGTATTTCTGTCTTCGGTTACCAAGTATAGCCACTAGGCATCACTTCTTCGTGTTAAAGTGCCTTTGCACTTTAAGTACATTACTTAAATGTTGCTTTTAGCTTTGAGAAATTGAACATATTTTGATGTGTTGTATTTTTGAAATTAAAAACACTGTAAAATAGATTGAAAATGTCAGCTATATTAAGTCAACATACAGTTTGCTTGAGTTATAGAAACCAGCCTATCGTTAAATGATTCTAGTTCTAGGACTTTATAGATTTAACTGTAAAATATTTCCTTTCCTCTGGATTTGTTCTCAGTGATTTTATTTAAGTCAACTAAGGGGATTTAACAGTGGACTAGAGGTAATAAAGCACCTCAGTTGGGATTAGTGGTTCATTAATAAAATATATTTAACCCAATATCAGAGTGAATTGAACAATTAATGCCCCCCGTAAATCATTATTTTAAACTAACATGGTCAGTGTTTTAGATTATTTTCCTAATTAAGAGTACATTACACAACTTGTAATATATTTTTCCTGCATTAAATTAGATATTTTTATATATTTAAATGAAAGAGTCTGAATTTCTAACTTTTTAATTGAAATTAATATTTTTTCTGCCTATTGAAACATTTTCTATAAACACATACCAGTAGAGGCCGCCACACACCTCATTAAATAAAGACTTACGAGCCACTAGGTACCTTGAAGGAAGACTTCAAAGGTGAACTTCAAACTTCCCGAGTAAATTCTCCTGCAAATTCACAGCAGCAGAGGACAAATGTATACATTACTTTCAGTTTCTTTTAGGATTTCAAGTTAGACTCAGAATCCTTCTCAATTTTCACATTTTCAGAGAAAGCAGCGTTTGCCTCTTGAGTTTATTGAAGCATTAATGGGGTGCTATCAAATCCTGTAAGATTTGCATATCCAGATGCATTTTCTAGCACCTAAACCCAGAAAGTAGACATCAGTTCTCCCCCGCCTTCGTCAGGCATGTATTACTTGAATTTCTTCCTAGTCAGCTCGGACTAGCCTTTCTTTTGGTCTTCACATTAAAATTATTTTCACTAACCGAGTCTAGGTAATATTCCTGAAGCCTTATTAATTAGCCTGTAAATAACTTTTAGATGCAAACATTATTGTGTGATTTAAACAAACAGCCCTTCTTTACAACAAAAAATAGTTTTGTTTTGTCTATTGTAAATCCTTATGCAACTGGGATGGTGATCTGCATATAAAGTAGTCCAGCTTTTCAATTCCTTATTAAAGCAATTGATGGCATCTGAAAGAAGCACACTGTTTCCTTTTCATAAATAGGTTACTGCACATAATAATCCTTTCTTATCATGTGGAGATTGAAGTGGATCCTGATAATTTACTTTTATAGCTTAAAATGACGAATAGTATATTATCTGTCACTATAAATGATTCATGTGATAGGCTTTCCATTAGAAATTATTTAAGTACAAATTATTTGGATTAATAAATGCTGGCGTGAAATTTTTTTATAAACAATGGAAGGTAATTTTGCATCTAAAATTGTAAAGGGTATTCAGGTAAAAAAAATGCCCTTAACAACCTAACATCACCGAATATCTACAGAGACAAGTTAATATTTTCAGTTTTTGATTAGAGACAATTCATATTTTGAATCCATTAGTTCAGAATTGAAAATTATGGGCTGAAATGGTCTACAAAAAGCTAACACAAAAAAATACATTTCACAGAAGAGGAGCTAGAACATTACGCTAACTGGATTTGTAGCTGCACTCATCTGGTTCAATGATGAATACAAAATACAGGGATAGGTACTTTCGGAAGTGATCACTAACTCTAATTAGTAAACATCCTACCAAGATAGTTTTTACATCCAAACTTTATGAATTAAACAGTTGATTCCACTTCAGCTATTAGTATCTTGAAAGTCATTCCTATAAAATGCCATTGATTTTAAACTAATTTATTAATCTTAGATAGAGGCAGTGTCCTATTTATTTAGTTATCTGATTTTCAAAGAGACCTTTTGGAAGAATTCAGAATCAAGAAGTCTTGCTTAATAATTGCAGTTTAAATTCTAGAGCCTCATACTTTTATGATACTAAGTTTATTTTCATTGGATTCTAAAATGAAATCACTTTCTTGTGGACCAGACTATTTCATTTAAAAACACAATGCACCATATATTTTGAAGCTTTATTTTCTAATGCAGTAACAAACACTTCTAAGTTTTACTAACTTATTAGCATCCACACTGACTGATTATATTGCGTTTGCTGTATCCTCACATGTTTTCAAATATAACTTTATTTTAGGATTTTTATTTTTATCTCCTGCAGCTACATTTTGCTATTTCACTTTTATTATTCACGTGCAGCTTCTCATGGACCTGAGCTTCAGCACAGAGAAATTATTCCCGCCAATAGAATGTCATCTTCGTTGACCCTGCCTGGATCAGATCTATATGTCTGGTCTTACAAATGGCATGGGACAATTCCCTTTTCTTAGCTCTTAATCAGTTGCTTTCCTGTTTTTGAATATACTCCTGGCTCACTCTGTATGGAAACACTATAAACTACCACTTCTCCATCCGGACACAATTGCCAAGAGTCAAAATTGGTTCTGGACTTTGGTTGACCTGTGTGCCTTGTTAGCTTCCTCCAGCAGTTGGTGAGTAAGAAAATTATTTCCATTGCTTTGTCCTCTGACCTCTAAGGTAATTTGATTTTTCTAAATATTTCCATGTCATCAAGGGCTCGATTTTTTTAATTTTTACAAAATAGTTATGAAAATAAGAGAAAGTTTCTATGATTTATCATGCTTTGGAAATATTCATTTTGATCACACATATTTCAGCAACATCCTGGATTGGATGCCAGAGTGAAGAAAGCCTTGCAGATAATTCTCTTGATCCAATCATTTCTTCCTTTATTCATTAACTCGATGTATAGTTATTGAATGCTTGCTTCCTAGATGCCACGCTCTATGCTATGTGCTGAGGGAGGTTCAGAGATGCAGTTGACAAGATCTGTGCCCCACCTGCCTTCCACCCTGACCGGAAGTTAGTAATAATAAAAGAGAATCTTACTTGTAAGCACTGTTAAGATCTCTTCAGAGTTACACGGTTAGAAAGGGAAAATATCCACCAAATAAAGTAAAACAGGTTTATGAAGAATAAAACCAGACCCAATATTATGGCCTGAAGATAGCTATATACTTGTACTATCTAAAGATTGACATTGCTAAGATGAATCCCAAGATTGTAAATACAAAATCACAAAAGGAAGTTTTCTGGAACCTCCATGTTTTAGAGGCAGTATTCACTTTTATATCATTGGCTCAAGATAAAACTTTGACTTAAGTGTCTTCTTTTGTCAACTCAATGACAAGACACCTAAATCCTGAGAGAGAGAATTAAGTACTGTATATAGGCGTACTTTGTTTCTCACAATGGCTGTGCAAAAAGTCACGTGTAAATTGACATTTTGTAAATCAAATTGTGTTTTAAATGCATTAGGAGAGCTGCCATTTAGACTAAACTTGTGAATCCTTTTATACAGCAGACAACCATTTTATAATACAAGTAATCATTCTCTGTTTTGTAAGTTTGAATTTTCAGTATCAACTTTGCTTAAAACAGAGCCCACCTACATAATAAGAGTGTATGTTGCCAATGCAACTTGTGCCACCAGTTTCTTGGTTGCGAAGGGTTTATACTTGAAAAATCTGCTCTAGTTTCTTGTGAGTTGAACTATCAAGGGATGGGATGATGGCACAGTAGCATTCCTGAACAGTCTGAGTAGCCAACCCATTTCAACTCATTTCAACACAGGAACTTATCTGCTCACCAGTGGTTCCTTTAGAGGGTGGAGTGACTCCTGTCCTGTATTTACATCCCATAAAGTGCTTAGAGTCACAGGTTTTACAATACATGTATGTTATTATGTAAACATATTGAATTGCATGTGTGTTGGAATTTTTTAGCAGTATTTTAGCTTGAAAGTACTTGTACAAATACTGTTAGATTTAGTTGGAAATAATTGTTCTCAAGTTATTGGAATAAATGGCAAATAAAACAATTCTCGTGTAAATAGACTTCTGTACATTGTTGAAGTACAGTGACATTGTGGCAAAAATAAAAGTCATATTTTGGGATACTTATAGGCAAAATCAAATAGTGGAATTATGATCAAACAATACCGTGTTTTGCTGGGTAAGTTATTTCCAGTCATTTTCTGCTGCAGTTCATAGAAATAGTCACTACAATGAGCAATTGATTTTAAAAAGAACTCTTTAGAATCTTAAGAAGAATTAATGACAAAGCATTACGGGAACCATCATCTTTGCTTTGATAGATTCTGTTCAAATGTTTACAAATCAAGGTCTTCTAGTCTTTGTAAGGGTAAATGAGGTTTTTAGGAATAATACTTTTCCACAAATGTCCTTTAGTATCAGACTGAAAATATATTTAAGTAAAGAGAACAAATGCAATTCAAATAAATATGTGCCTCTGTAGGGATTGAAAATGTACTGACTTTCCACTTCCCTACCACCACACCCACCCACCCACACCCAACTATTTTTGTTATGATATTCTAATACTATAAGTGATTTTAGTACCAAACTATTTTCATTATAATATGATAATACTAAGAAGTGACTTTTAAAAATAATCTTTGATTTTTGAGTCACATCCTGCAGTGCTCAGGGCTTACTCTTGGCTTTGCATTCAGGAATCACTCTGGTGGGGTTGGATGGTGACTATATGCAGTGGCAGGAATCAAAGCTGAGTTTACTGTGTGCAAAGCAAGTGCCCTAGCCACTATACTATCTCTCTAGCCAAAATCTAAATTTCCCATTTTATAAAATAAGAGATAGATTGATATGCAGATCTAGGAAAGTATATTTTCTTAATTGATTCATGGAGATGTTATCAATATAATCACAAAGACTAACGTGGAAACAATTTATGAGAGAGAAACTTTTGTTGTAATTGTGGTGATAGTATAGCAAACTGACTAGTTACTTGCAATTATTTAAAAATCAGAATATTTCCGCCAAATATATTTGATTTACATGTACTTAAATAATAAAGTATTTGAGATTCCTAAAATTGACTTGAATGAAGACTTAAAGCAAATCATCATTATTTGAAATTAATCAGCTATATGGACAACATATATTTTTTATTTCTGCAACCTCCATGGGTACAAAACAACTGCAGTAACCTCATTTGAAAATGCTTTGTTTAAAAATGAGAGTTGGCAAGGGACTAAAATACATGCTTTGCATGCACAGGGGACCAAGTTGGATCCTCAGCACCACATGGATCCCAAATACCACCAATGGTAGCCCCAATGCTGCATTCTAACACCATTGGCTGTGGCCTTGGTGGTCCCCAGCACCACTGGGTCTGA